GTATTTTTTTTGGAAGAGAAACAATGAGGATGAGGGATGAGAATACTCTTATTAGAACTAGAGAACATCTTTTCTCTTGCTACAAATACCCAACTTCATAAAGAAAATAAAACCTGGATGTGCCAGACTGCCGAAACAGAGACTTTAGAGGCACTAATGATGGAATAAAAATGTAAACATTCAAATTTTTTGACCTGTCTCACAATAAGCTCATTTGATTATCTGTACAGTCTCTGAGAAACACTTCCAATGTATTACTGTGGAAATAGTAGAGAATTTTACAGGAATATACGCTTTGTTACAATTCAAAATGTTTAAAAAACTTTACTAGACCTTATGAACTAAAAATGTCTTACAGCTTTGAAAAAGAATCCATTTTCAGAATAAAGAAACTTACTTTGTCAATTTAATTTCTAAGTGCGGCCTTACGTGTTAGGTAAAGAAGTATGCAAGTACCACAGGTTTTTAGCATTAATGAAGTTAGAAAACTAAATAAAAAAGATCTTTCACCTATGAACAACTTTCATGTTATTATTACAGTGAAAAGCTAAAAACCTTTAAAAATCATTTATTTTTCTACCAGTATATATCAACATATAGTTATAATTGTCTGTCAGCTCTACTAGTTCTTAAGATGGTCTTTTCCCTGGAAAAAATGAGAAACGTTTCCAAAAGTTGAGCTTAGTATTCAATAAAAGACACTTGGCATTTATATTTGCTTATTATTTCAAAATGTAATTTGGGGAGAAAAATTTTAATTATTTTTATGAAGGGCCTGAAGAAACCCCAGTGAGACATTCTGTGGAGAGGTCCTTTGTTAGTGTAACATCTGACCTTCTATATCTTTGGAAATCATGCAACTTGGCTAATGTAGTCCTTAAAGAATTAATCAAGCAGATTGTAAGGCCCTAGTTACAGTGAAGCCAGCCAATTATGAGTTGCTCAGAAATTCATCATTGGCATGTCCAACCACATTGTCCCACATAAAGATTAGTAAAAATATGTGGAAGCAAGGCCCATTCCCACCCCAGCACAACTACAATATGTTTAGAGAAACTCAACAAAGTTTTGCCTTAGTAAAACAGTTTATTTGGAAATCTTTTTTATTCCCCACTTTACCCATGTTTTTTTCTGCCAACATGGCAAAGACTGCCCTATTTAGTTAAAACCTAAGTAGGGACTTTTACATTCAAACACACCTCTCAATTGAAGGCACTGAAGTCACATGCCACAAGCCTGAACTCATCAGTGAGTTCGTGAAATCCCCAAAGACCATCGTTAAGTCTTCACTTTTGTGATAGCACCCTTCCAAGCCTTACTTAAAAGAAAGATTTCTCTGCAAGACAGAAATGAAAGGGCCCTGAGTAGATGAAGACTGGTTCTCTAAGGAGAGGGCAGTGCTGCTCTTAAATAAAGAAGCTCCTTTCAGATAAGCAGAATCAGATTCCAGTTCAGTTGGTTTGCTGGCTACCCTTACTTTGAACTCTCATATTTAACCCAGCAGGCTTCAAAGCAGGTGAGAAAATAACCTACCACTTAAAAGCAATTTTTTCTTTTTCAGGAATTCTGGCCTTGGAGAGTATCAGCTCTGATATCAGCACATTCCACATCTCTAGGGATTTATGCAACTTTTCATTGCTCTATGTCTAATGTCAAACCAGATTTTCATCTCAGCCTGGAGAAAAATCAGGGAAAAAATCCTGATTTAGTAAGTATGAAATCTTTTCCATATATCCTTATACCATGCAAAAGAAGAGGCATTACAACCATTAACCATTCTAGTTTATCCCCTTCCATTTATCTAATTTTAATATACAGTGAGAATTATTAAAAATTATTAATCTTAGTGACTAGCATCATAAAAAAGCAATTTTTACAACAAATACATTTTGAGAAACTCAAATTGAACTTGTTCCACCATGTACACTGATATAAAAAGATATTAGGCTGGGTGTGGTGGCCCATGCCTGGAATCCCAGCACCTGGGGGGCTGAAACAAGAGGATCACAGTGAGTTTGAAGCCAGGGTTCAAACTGGGCTACATTCTGAGTTCAAGGCTAGCCTGAACTACACAGTGAGACCCTGTCTCAACAGACAAAAAACAACAAAAATACCAAAAAGATGTTAGATGAGGAAGAGACAAAGGCAACAATGAAGAAATATAGGCAATTTTCTTAAATGATTCTGCCTTGCTAAATAGAGGAACAAGTATGTTTCAAATATACTTTATCAGTTCCTACTTTAGTTAGTCATCAGATATCTGACTTAATCAAATATCCTAACACAGGTAGCTTGCAACTTATCAACAGGGTTGCCCGTGGCAGGAACTTAAAACACTTTCCCTCTTTTTTTGTGGTTCATATATACATAATGTACCAAATGTACAGTACTAATAGTATGATACTAACAGCATCATTTAAATGACACTCAAATACTGTTTATGCTTCAGTTTTTATGGGAAAATGCATTTCAAGCTTACTGTTACGACTTAGCTCCTTTATAGCTGCTCTTGGGTGATAAGGATGACAAGGAGAAGGAACAACAGCTAATACCTACTTTCTACTGTGGGCAGACCTAGTTCTACATGCTTGATACATTTGACTTTCACCCAAACCTATGCAGCAGTACTATTCTCATTTATAATTAAGGGTAGAGACAATGAAATAACTTACCTGAAGTTGCACAACCAATAAGTGTCAGGGATGGTTCCAGAGTCTCCACCCATAACCACTCTACAATTCTGCCCCTTCTCCACTTGGGTGAGGTGGCACTACTAGGATGTTCTGTGTTCCACAGATTGGTAAGAGACATACAGCAAGGTTTCTAGAGCTTTACACCTGGCGATCTTGTTAAAATGCAGATTCTTACTGAGGAGGACTATGGCGGTGCCTGAGGCTCTGCATTTTTTACCAGCTCCTGGGTGAGAGCTGAGCCCCTGGGATATAAACCACACCTTATGAAGTAGTGCACAGGTAGAATTTGAAACTCTAGTTCCCTTGATGTTTGTCTGCCAAGGCATTTATATGTTGTGTTTAGAAGCTGAAGACTGCCCATGCTGTAATCATTTTCCATGAACTCTTAAATGGGACCTGCCGTTGAAACTGCTACATGCCAGATACTGGTCTGATCATACTACCAGTAAATATTTAACTTTTAGAAATTTAAAATGTACATGTAAATGCCATAAGGTTAAAATATAGCTGTAAAAGTTCACTGTCAGTGACATTTTAAATTGTATATATCACCAACTATACAAAACCAAAAGTTAAGTGAGTAAATGCTTGTTTATTGTACATCAACTAGAGTCACAGTATATCAATAACTTTTAGTCTTAAAAAAAGCTTCCACTTTAAAATATGTAATTCTTCATTCTCGGACCCTGCTGGAGGAGTGCTAAAGAACTTATATGATGTAACCTGAAAGGCTCTTCTTGGTGCCATTAGTGACTTCTTTGGCAAAGGCAGTCACTGTAAACGAACACTGATGGATGGAGCACACAATGCATACACTCCACATTAATTTCAGCTAGTACATCACAGAAATACACCACTAACAGTTGCTACATATCTGGTCCAGATTTTAGATCTCACTCCTTGCTCTATTTCTCTTCCTTCCCACTCTGCTGCCTGAGAGAAATTCACAAACCATTTATCCCATTGCTTGCCTGTGTTTTTAAAATACACAGTTGCATATTTTCCCCTAGCTGCTAAAATTGATGTGCTCCCATTTCTAGTCCATTTTTTTCCATGCAGGATTACACAGTAAGAGCATTTCAATTTGAGATGCATTCACTCCCCAATCATTACCCTTGCAAACAAGAGTTACAATATAATCAATCACTAAGCTTCCTTTTTTACACTAAAAGGAAATAGGATAGTTAGTTTCCAACCCAAATATCTATACTCCCTGAACAACAATGAAAGTCACTCTTCTTGATGCTTGACCCAGAATCAAATGCATACTCAAGACTCCAAGGCCTACAGCCAGTGGCAACTGAACATACTGTACAGTTGACTTTCTGGGAAAATGGGAAACCAGTGCTCTAACCATGGTGCCAGAATAAAGCCAACTAATCTGTAAGGCACAAAACAAAATATTCTTAAGGCAGAAAAGGAGATTGTGAGGAAAACAGGGAGTTAGAATGGAGGCATATAGAAAAAAATATACATTACCATGCGAGGATTAGTTTTTCTAGGGTTTGCAGTGCTTTTATTTTGGAAGTGAAATGAATTATCATTTTCTTTTGGAGTTTTAACTGCTTATTACCCAGGAAAATTATAAAGATGCACAAGAAAGATGAATTTTTTTATAAGGTTTGGAGACTTAAAGGTAATTCTCTTTGGTAATTTTACCTGGAGCCAATGACATTATGAATAGTCATGGAAAACCCTCTTTAATGTCAGTCCTCAAGCACTTCTTGGGTCAGGAAGTGAGGAAGCAGTTCAAAATTAAAGGATAAAAATAAAGGCCTACACATGGCTCTATATCCAAGATGTGGGGAAGTCAATAAGAAGATACAGACACTGTAACTGGGAAAACCTTTTAATATAAATCATATTCTATACCAGGGGCCACCTTACCTACTTATTCTCCATCCTAGTTGTACTCTTTAATATAAAGTTTAGCAAATCCTCAGAGCTAATGATATCATTTAAATGGAATAATCAAAAGGTTCAGTTACAAAATATGGAAATTTTTTAAATGCCAAAGAAAACGTACTCAAGGCAAGAAAGAGTTGGATTATTCTAGTAATGAATGCGGTCTATCACCAAAGGTGATCTCCAAAAAACAACTTTATAATGTTATAGCACTGTATTCTTTAAATTTTTAAGCAACAGAAGTATAGCTCAAGTCACCAGAAACTTACGTTCCCACATTTATGGCAGTAACTTTACAAACAGACGTCTTCTATTGCTCATCTGAGTTAGCACAAACAGGTCAGAGATGATTTCTTGAGTGCTTCACAAATACTCTATACAAGTCCTTGAGATCATACTTACAGCTTTAGCAAAAACACCCACGATTTCAGGAAACTGGTGTGTGAGAAGAGCTATCATTGCTGTAGAAGAACACAGTCCTGCTGTAAAATGGATGAAAAAAGGAAGCTCCTTCTTGGGATATACAGACACATGATGAAAGGCTGAAGGGACAAAAAGTAGGAATGAATTTTATTTTGCAATATAATTTAAGCTAGTCTTGATATTTTCAGATTAAATCTATTTAAAAACTAAAAAGGAAAATATTTTTTACGAACAAGAAGTCTTTGGTCAAGCAAGGTACAAGAAGAAAGTTATCCGTTAGTTATTTCAGCATCAAAAGCATTTCTAAATAGCCAAATAACCATACTGGGGTCTGGGAACAGGATAGTATCGTGGGAAAGAACACTGATTACAAAGTCATGCTGAGGTGGTTTTGAAAAAGAGCTTTGTCAGTTATTAGTATGTGATTTTGAGTAAGTTGCTAAAGCCTGTAAAAGTTGCTATGGAGTTGTTATGATGAACACTGTAAGCACTTAGTAAAATGTGAGTTGTTATTAATTCTTGTTCTTTGGAAGCTCAGAGAATAGTATAAAGAGATAGATAAGTCATAGGGGATTTTCTCAGACGCATCAGTTAATAATTTTACCAAGATATTAACATGTTTTCTATATGACATTTCATTGCTCACTGTAAAAATGAACTAGAAAACTAAAGCCCTAGATTCTGATCATAAATTAATCCCTTTGCTTACTCTACTACATTTACATAATCAAGTACTTTTTTTTTTTTACCTGATTATAGATTCTGTTACCAGTTATATTCAAGTATTTATATTTTATTTAAAATTTGAAAAATACCTGAATACCAATTCAGAGATAAATCCATTATAGTGTCTGATACATAGTAGGTACTCAATATATTAATTTCTACTTAAACTGAGAACTAGTCTGAGACTTCATTAGTCCAGAAGTTGATAGCTCTGGGCTGGACACTAACCCAGGAATTCCTGATATACAGTAATATCCTGCATTAGTAAGGGATGACTAATTCAGTGCTGAACCAAGGTCAGCTATAAATTTCACTTTTTTCAACACAATGATTAACAGAGAAGATTACATGTAAGCTTCCTTCAACAGTCACAATATTTTTATGTATCTTATACAATTTCAGAGAGTATATACACCAAAAACCAAATTCATTTTAAAAGCCACAAAATTTCCAGAGTCTTGAGCCACGTTTAAAGTATGAATACAATGGAACTGAATTTTTTAAAAGTTCGAAACAGGAGGATGATAAATTCAAGGCTAGCATGGGTAACCTAGACTGTTTCAAAAGAGCTAAAGAAAGGGGCTGGGCTGGTAATACAGCTCATGTAGCTCAGTACAAGGCCTTCGGCTAAATCCCCAGTACAGAGGGGAGAGACAGACAGACAGAAACAGAGACAGAGAGAGAGACTGTAGACAACACCCAAATAGTCCTCAACCCCTTTTGCTCTGTTCCTCAGCTACTAGAGGCCAATTCTTTGTAGCAAATGAAAAGAAACAAGTCCTGGTATTTCAGAAGGCAGGAAATAAACCAGAAAAATTAATAATGTTTAGTATTTTAAATACTGTTTAGTATTTTAGGGTTTCTAAAGTACTTGTTTGTTTTTTTTTTAGTAAGCCTAAGAGATAGATGGTATTATCCCTGTTTCATATGGCAGAAAACTACATAACTTTAGTGTGAAAATTCCCTTAAATATGAGCTTCCTGTACTGTAGGAGAGACCCAATTATTTCTTTCTGGATTGCTTTCTGTAGATTCATTTGTCAGTCAATGTTTGGCTAATACATCAATATAATGAATGACTGACTAGTACAGAAACACTCCCTTGGAATGAAAGTTCAAATTTCATCACCAGTTTATAGAGAAAAATTTATCAGGAGGCATAATAGACAACTAAATAGCTATGTGAACTAGGGGAATAGTTCAAATCTGAACTTATGAGGTCCATAAGCAAATTCCAGAATGCTGTAAGGCATATCAAGGTTGAAGGAATTAAAAAAAAAAAAGTACTCCTGGGTATTAGAACTCTACATTATTAAATATTTGTTCATTCTACCACAGGCAGAGACAGGAAAAATATCCTAAGAACATATACGATAATCAAACAAAGTCCTCCAGCTTACCCTTCTACTGCAACCTCCTGGAGTCTGCACTCTACATGTAGTTAGAATTCATAAAGCCTTACCAAAAAAAAAGAAACTATCTGGTCTTGTAGCATATGACTCAGAGATACGAAAATTACTCTTAATTTATTAATATTAATATGTAAAGTTAGCCTTAGAAAACTTTTGTAATAATTGCAAAGCGGACATTATTTTAGCCTAAATGTATTAGCCTAATAAACTTCTGTATATTGATGTTTTATAATTAAAGATCCATTGCATTGCTTTAAAATCTTTATTCTTTTTTAAATGGAAAAATAATGACAAGAACAAATACTACCAACCTCACCCTAGGAAGGAAAATGAAATTTTTCTCACTAATGATCTCCTAATTGCCAAAGTCAATAGATTCTGCTCAGTAACTGCCTTCTCAGATACTCCTCCTCACTTGGAAATTTCTTCCTCCTTTTAGTTTCTAGAATATCTAGTTCTGGCTCTTGTGTTATCTGACCACTCCTTCAATAAATCTCCAACTATTTTCCTGCCATCAATTCCTTAGACATTTTTGTGCCATCATGGTTCTATCCTTACTTCAGTTCTTACACTATACAATTTCTCTTAGTGATCTCATTTTTGTCTAGAATAACAACTTTTTCCTCCTTTCTCCTCTCCCCTGTTCCCCCCTCTCCTTGCTTCCCTTCTTCTCTTCCTTTTTTTTTAGAGACTGTATTTTCCCATGTTGCCCAGGTTGGCCCCAAACTCACAATTAGTTTACTAATATTTCCTGAAGATGTTTGTATTTATAAGGGCTATTGTTCTGCAGTTTTTTTGTATCTCTGTTTGGTTTTGGTATGAAGACAATACAGGCTTCAACAAATGAGTCAAAGAGTATTCTCTCCTTTATTTTCTGAGAGTTTACAAGGCCTGGTTATAATTTCTCTTACAAATGTCTGCTGTTTTTAGTATCTTTAAGATATTGCTGCTTTTAGTATCTTTAATCTTTGTGTTCTTCCTTGCCTCTAGCACAGGATTTTGCCCGATAGTATTTGAAAATGAATCATTATGCAACTATATCCGAGAAATGGTTATGAAAGTATTTACAAAGTCCCAAAAGGGTCTTATTTCTTCCTTTTTAAAAAATTTTTATTTATTTATTTATTTATTTATTTATTTATTTATTTATTTATTTGATGGTACTCAAGACTGAATACAGGGCCTTTGTACTGAGCTATACCCCCACCCATTTTTTAATTATTTGAGACAGGGTATAACTAAGTTGCTAAATTGCCCAGGCTGGGCCCAGCCTCCCAGAGTGCTGGGATTGAAGGTGTGCACTACCATGCTGTATTTTCCTATGGGAAAATACACTACGTGACTCAAAGGGGTCTTAAAATGAAGAACACTATGGGAAATGCTGTTGTCTGAATATGGTTTGTGACCGCCCCCCCACCTCAAAGGTTCAAGTGTTACGAATTTGGTCCCATGTGGGCAGTGTTGTGAAACAACCATGAACAGGTAAGGCCTACTGGGAGGTCGTGACTAGGGGTGTGCCCTTGGAAGAGACTGTGGGATGCCAGTTTCTCTCTCTGCTTCCATATGGAGATATAATCATTGACCTACCCCTGCACGCGCTCCTGCCGTTGCTATCCACTTGTGAGCTGATGCCAAGGGACAGCCCTCACTACAAAAGCTTGCACTATCATAGAATTTCCAAAACTGTGTGCTAAATAAATCTTTCTTCATAGTTAGCCTACATCGATAGTTATAAAAATGTGACTAATACAGAAAAGAATCTAAACCATTACTTATAAGTTTAAGAAAAATGAAATATTTACTTACTAGGTAACAGCTCTCTGTCAGCAGTTTCTGTGCAGCTGGGATAAGGGTAAAATAGATGTCCTTTCTCTAATGGGTATGGAATCATTCTAAAAGCTGAGAAAAAATACTTATGTTGACATTCAATTTTATCTCATTTACCATGCTATGCTATAGATCAAAACTATTTTAGAGATAAATTTTTACAAAATTATCATATAGTGTTTTGTTTTCTTAGGCATTTTAGATGAAAGAAAGTAAGCAAAAGAATAAAGGGAAAATAAGACAGTGAACAGTCAATGGTTTAGTTTAATTAGAGCAAAACCAAAGGCGGCAGCGGGAAGTAAGATTTACTGGGTTATTCTCTGTCTCAGTCTTCTTACTGCAATCATAGACTTAACTCTACAGTTCTAAACTTTGCTTCTTAAAGAAATCTTCATAAAGTTGTTTAGGCCCTAACTACTGGGAACCTTCTAAAAAAAGAGTACCAAATGGCTCCTAAATTCACACGTGAAGTTCACCAAAGTTTTCTATGAGCAGAGGTTAATCTAGTTTAGGATTCACCAAAGTGAAACCCTTTAGCCAGATCTGACCCACTATCTATTTTTATAAATAAAAATATATTAGGACACAGCCCTGCTGTTCACTTATATACTGTCTAAGGTTATTTCCATTAGGTGTGGCGGCGCCTGCCTGCAATCCCAGCACACAGGAAGATTTTGAGTTTGAGGTCAGCCTGGGCTACATAGTGAGTTAAAGGCTAGTCCGGGTGGCACAGTGAGACCCTATCTCAAGCAAACAATAAAAGGTAGTTTTCATGATGTAAGAATAGTTGTGACAAAGACTATATGGCCTGCAGAGCCTAAAATATTACTTTTAGAAAATTTTGCCCACTTTTCATTTAGATTATTAACAATTCTTGTGGAGTTATCAAAGAAGAAATCCTTATTGATCTATTCCACTAGGTAAGTACTCAGCAAAACTGTGATAATGCTTTTGAGTTTTCCTTCAGTGGTTGGTTCTATAAATTTTTCTCAAAATATAGACTTTACCATAATAAGAAGTAGTTACTAGCCCGAAGTCTATCATCAAATCAGTGATAACATAAGGAAATCATTCATCAGGGTACATTAAATATACAATATAAACAATATCCGTGTGGAATACCCCCATGTGCTAAACAGAATGCCAGGCAAGGAAGACACATACAAGTTAAATGAGATACTGTAGCTTGTTTGGGGGTGCTGACAGCCTACTAGAGAAACTCTGAGCTCCTCAAGTACATAATCTCAGTTTTATCCATCTTTCTACTGTCAAGACCAGTATACGACTGTTTCCAAATAATTAATACAGAGGCTCTCAAGGACACATAGTGTCCCTTATGGATCAGGTTTGATTATTTATTTATGTGTGTGTGCTGGAAATTGAACCCAAGGCCTCACACACAATAAGCTTACCTTCTACCACTAAGCTATACACCCAGTCTCAGTAATGTTTTATGATACCATAGATTGAAAAAAAAAAAAAAAAAGAACAATTTTAGTGGGTCCAAATAACTTTAAAAGTTTATGCCCTAACAACTTAGAAATTTTTTAAAAAATAAACATAAATTGGAAATAATTTTTCTTATTTTTAAAGAACCATTATTAGCACCACATCGTGGTGCAAACCTGTAGTCTCAACTACTCAGGAGGGTGAGGTAGAAAGATCACTGAGCCCATGAGTTCAAGGTCAGCATAGGCAACATAGAAAAACCTAATTTTAAAAAAGCCAAAAAACCAAAACTATCGTTTCTTACTAGTAAGACATATGCATGGAACTGTCAGACATTGCACAACTACCTTGGACTCAAACTGGACACCACTATCCTCTTTCCTGTTCCACACTGACTTTTGTGTGTTATTTTTTAAAAATCACAGCAAACTAACAAAACCCAGCTTTGCAAAAATATAGAAGGAATGGAGTATAACGTTGAAACTGAACTACCTAGAGCCAGCAATTTATATAGTATCTGACAGAGCTGAGTATTTCTACTAAAACTTTTTCATGAAAACTTTAAAATATCCCATGATATCCTTATGAACTGCTACAATGTTCCAAGGGCCTCACAGCAAATACTGGGACCTAAAAGGGCTAAACAATTTTTGTGAATAAGCACTGAATTTACTTTTGAAGTTTTATGATAGTTGTGGTATACTTTCCAAGAAAATTATGAAAGTGCAATTATAAAATAGTTTGATTAAGCTTCTTTACTTTAATAGTTAAGAAGCTACAAATAAGAGATCTGTTAGTTAAAACAGCCCAGTTTGTTCTCCAGAGAAAATGTACAAATGGCCAATAAACACATGAAAAGATGTTCTACATCACTAATTGTTAGAGAAATGCAAATCCAAACCATAATGAAATTCTACTTCATATCCATTAGGATGGCTATTATCAAACAAAAATCAAAGCAAAAAATAACAAATGTACCCAGGCGTGGTGGCACACGCCTGTAATCCCAGCCCTCAGGAGGCTGAGGCAGGAGGATCTTTGTGAGTTCAAAGCCAGCCTAGGCTACAAAGTGAGCTCAAGGCCAGCCTGAACTGCATAGTGAGACCCTGTCTCAAAAGACAAAAAAAAAAAAAAAAAAAAGAAAGAAAAAAAAAACAAATGTTCATAAGGATGTGGAGAAACTGCAACTCTTGTGTGGAACGCTGATGGTAATGTCACATGAAACAGCTGCTATGGAAGACAGTATGGTAGTTTCTCCAAAAATTATATTTTACATCCAGCAATTCCACTTCTGGGTATATACTCAAAAGAATTGAAAGCAAGAATTCAAACAGATATTTGTACATCAAGATTCATGGCAGCATTATTCACAACAGTCAAAAGGTATAAAAAAATCCAAATGTCTACTGCCAGATGACTAGATACACAAAACACAGTATATGCATACAATGAAATATTACACGCTTAAAAAAGAATGCAATTCTGAAACAAACTATATGATAAACCTTGATGATATGCTACATGAAATCAGCCAGAAGCAAAAGGACAGATATTGTTAATGATTCCCCATGTGAGGTAGCAGAGGTCATACTCATAGAGACAGAAAATACAATGGTGGTTGCCAGAGGCTGGGGAAAAGTAAGAATGAGAAGTCATTATCTAATGTGTACAGAATTTCCATTCAGAAGGATTAAATGTCTGGAGATAGATGGTGATAACAGTTGTCCAACAATGTGAATGTATATAACACCACTGAACAGAACACGAAGAGTTAAAACAGTAAATTTTGTTATATTTCACTATAATAAAAAAAATGAGAATAGAGTTGATACAGTTAAGAGGAAAATAGTTTCACGTTATACATATCTGAAAATAAAATAAAACCAGACCAATTTTTAAAATGAGAATATGACTGGGCATGTAGCCCAGTATAAAGTACATGGTTACCATAGGAGGCTTTGGATTCTACAAAAAATTAAAGCAATCGCTTAACCACATTAAAAAGCTAACAAGCCAAAGGGCATAACTTTTCATTTTCTCTCCTTACATGCATTTAACTTAAATGAACAAATGGCAGAATACCATGACAGTTTCTCACTCTGCTCTTCCTAAATGTGGCATTAATATAAATAGATTAACCATTTCTTTTACCAATAAAACAACTATAATGCCACTAAGTTCTCTTTGAAACCAAACAAATCGTTAGAGAAACTCACACAATCTCATTTAAAAAGATAGCCTGTTAATGCAATGAATGGTCAGAGATTAGGGTTACATTTAGAAAAGATTACTTACTGCCTTCCCATGTACACTGCAACAGATTAAGAGCACCCTCTATTCGTTTCCAGTGCTGAAGGTGAAAGAAAGCATAAGCAACTGCTTCACTGTCACCCCGTTTCAGAATATGTTCTGGTGGTAAAATCAAACTTTTCATTTCTAGTAAATACTGCAAGAATAACATATACATACATACAACAGAAAAGAATTAAATTGTGCTTAGTTCAAACATCTACAAAAAATATATTCAAAATGCTATAAAGCCAAATTGATTTTTTGAAAATTATACATATTAAAATAGTTCAAATGACATGAAGGATCTTCTGAAAATTTATGTATAAAATGCTTATACATGCAAATTGTTTTTAATAGCAAATTCTAAAAATCAGAATGATTCTATACATAAAAATATGGCAACAAATGGCCTGTATGACCTTGCTAAATACAAAATGGAAGCTCAAGCTAAAGAAATAATTTGAGAGCAAATATTTATTTTCCAAAAAAGAATCAAATGTAAAGTTATAATAAATTTTGGAATAATACTTTGCAGCAACATTCCATTGTTGGTTCTTTTATTTCCATTTTATAGGTTAGAAAATTTAATTGTGGAAAAATCCAACTAAGTTCATACTTACTAAGTACGAAGCATTCTGCTTGTTAGAAAATACCAACAACAACAACAAAACATTTTCCCCGTTCTCTCAGCTTCATAATATAATAGGAAAGACAGTTCTTAAGAAAATAAGTACCGCAGACTGTGGTAAAGGCCTTATTAGAGGCATAAACAACATACATGGATATATGGCTAAGAAGTATTTTTTATTTGTTTTTAAAAACATCTTTATTAATCTGTTGTATACTCAATTCTGTAAAAGAAGATCTCTAACCTCAAAAAGAATTTCAGTACAAAAAAAAAATCTTTTTTGAGATAGAATTGACATATCTTAGAATTCATTTATTTAAAGTGTACAATTCAATGGTTTTTATTATATTCACAGGTATGTACAACCATTATCACAGTCAATTTTAGAACATTCTTACCACTACAGAAGGAAACCTGATACCCTTTAGTTAACACTCTCTACTCTCTCATTCCCCAACCCACTAACCGAGCACTAACCTATTTCCTATCTCTATAAATTCGCCCATACTAGGCATTTTATACAAATGGAATCATATTATATGTAATCTTCTGTAACTAGTTTCCTTCATTTAACATGTTTTCAAGGTTCATCCAGGTAGTAGCACATATCAATACCTCACTCCATTCTGTGGTCCCATAAAGTCCCATTGTATGGCTATATGGATATACCAAAATTGGATTATCTATTCTTTATCTGACAGACATTAGGTTGTTTCTACCTTTTGGCTGTTATGGATAATAGTGTTATTATCATTTGTGAATAACTTCTGGTGTGAATATATCTTTTCATTTCTCTTAGATAAAAACTTTGGAATAGGCCCGCTGGCTCATATGATAACTACGTTTAGAATGTATCATGATTTAGGGGCTCTAAATAAACCACTTGATGGGATTTGATATTTAAAGATAGGTAGTTATGTAGAAGAGCAGCCTGATAGCAGGCAAGGGGAGAAGAATAGGAGAGCACATTCAAAGCACAGGCCCATCTTGAACATAGGCACTGAACCGGAACAGCACAGATGTATATAAAAGACTGGAAAGCACACCTGTTATACTGCATCAATTTTTCTTCACATATGAAATGAAATTCTATTTTTGACTCCCGAAGAAAATACCTGTTTTAATATAACTCATACCAAAAGCAGTATAATCATGACTATAATACTAATCAAAGGATACTAACTCCATAAAGAAAGACACAAAATCAACTACTTGTATATCATCTTTCTACAAAAAGGGCAACAGAAAACAAAACCTTCAAAAAAATATTTTTATTTAGCTAAATCCTTCCTCCGAAGACTAAGGCCAGAATGCACCATCATTCTAGAGTAGGTTTGAAACAACTTTTTTGGTTCTAAACAATTTGATAGTAAATTATGTGTCAGGCCATATTAACTTCATTATAAAATATAAAAAGAGAAAGATTCCAGAGGTGTCTCAAAAGACAGACTCTTACATTTCAAATTCCAGTAGCCTCGGTTATTATACAAACTGAGAACACCAATAAAAGGGCTCAATTTATGAAATAAACTTTATAAGACTGCAAGGAGCAATAAGACTCTGGAGAGAATCTTAAAAATGAAGTTTGTAGTGGTTTTGAGATTTAAGCCTTAGGTTATTAGCTCATATGTATGCACTGCTCATAGTAATACATCTAAAACAACTGTTTCTCCTTTCTTTATGAAAGTGACTCTCCAACCATTACTGAGCTTAATGCCCATCTTTAATTACGCTTACTCTTGATGTCTCTGGCTCTGTTCTCAAAGTGTTAGAATGCAGTCTGCTCATCGATTTATTTTAGCAGATGTCACAAACTATGAGATTATTTACTAATCCACTTTGGGGACTTAACATTTCCTATTCAGTTTCTTAAAGGAATGCAGCAGAGGTTGTGTCCTGGTCAAGCAAAGCCCATTTGCTGCCTGGTTGGGTTCTCTTCCCTTAGTGCCTTGGGCCTATATTCAGGAGGGTAATATTCTTTCTAATCCTCTCTAATCCTTGCCCATTTTTTGAAACACAGTAAAAGATCACTCATACCAGGCAGCTATGGGAAAATGGACTCAAATAGCTGACCTCTGACATGATTCCTTATGCTCTTTGCAAGTACACTAAAAGCTTCTTCACTAGGTAGCAAAGAAAATGTGGCAATCACAGTGGAATCACCATTGTAAAAAGAGTATCTCATTTTCAGAAGAAAACTCTATTCTTAAACCAAATCCTTATTAAACTCTGCTTTATTTTACAGATACAAAGAAAAAAATCCAAAATGATTCTAGGAGCTTTAACTCCCAATATGGCAATTATTTTGTATACTGGCAACCACTTAGCAAATGTAAGCAAAGATATCTGACTAACAACTACTGAATAAAACTTAGAAAATATCAATGAAAATACTTTTTCGAACAGCAACTATATACCTGTATTTCACTGTTTTATAATCCAAGTGTCAATGCAAGAAGTAAATACACATTGACAGACAACAGGACATTATAATTCAGGATTTTATATTTTACAAGATTTTGCTAATTATTTTAAAAAATATGTTCCCTCTACTACCTTACTTCTATTATCATGTCTTTCCTATCAGCAAATGCCCTTTTCAATTTGAATTTACAGCAAAGCATTTTTCTGCTTCTAATTTGACACTGAAATAAAATTTGGCTCCCAAAATATAAGAGAAAATTTTTAGTTTAAGAAAGATGTATTTAATGGGGTGGGTAATGGGCAGTGGTTTAGCATGTACTCACCATGTACAAGGCCCAGGCTTCGATACCTAGCATGCGTGCGCACACATACACACACATAAATATTTAAAGTAAAATACAGGATTATTACTTATTTTTTTCTCCTTCATGAACTGCTATTCAGGACTTCCTGCCCCTCAGTGTAGGCCACTGGTTACTACACAACAGAAAGCATACCCTTCATAGTCTACTATAGTACCTAGCATATATTTCAACCCAAAGTAGATATTAACATGCTCATTAACTGAGTTGATTTGATATTCACAGCTAAAATGTCTCTGAACTGGTATTTCAGTTTTTACTGAAAGATATTTTCTAACTCTGGGCAAACTAAAACCAAACAAAAACAAAAACACCTAACTATGCAGATTTTACTATATTTTTTTAATAGTGCTAGGATTCAAAGGCTTTACCTTTCTAAGAATATGAAAGGTTAAAAACTGGTAGTTTGTTTTGTTTTGGTCTTTTATTTCTGCCTACAAAAGTACACTCAGTGTACAAAACTGGAAACATAACAAATGTAATTTATGTTTGTCTAGATTTCTTTTTTAGAAATAGTACATACTTTTTTTTGGTGGTTGTACTGGGGATCAAACCCAGGGCTTTACACATATTAGGCATGTACTCCACCACTGAGCTAAACCCCATCCCCTATGAATAATACATTGATTACATTTTTCTGAAAAAAGTGGATAAAATTGTGATACAACTCACTCTTTACATATATCTCTCTTTGTCTCTAAATCTAACATTCAAAATTATATAGTAATCCATTAAAAACTGAGTTACTTCACAAGAAAGAAATAAGATCATGCTGAAACTGCAATACCATCCTTTTATTTATTTATTTATTTATTTGTCTTTTTTTGAGACAGGGTCTCACTATGCAGTTCAAGCTTGTCTTGAGCTCACTTTGGAGCCCAGGCTGGTCTTGAACTTGCACAATCCTCCCACCTCAGCCTCTTGAGTGCTGGGATTACAGGTGTGTGCCATCACACCTGGCAATACCATCCTTTTAAAACATAAAAACTAAAATAATTAACAAAAAATTGTGAAAAGTTAAAATGGCTAAAAATTTTCAAGAAATGATGGGTATAAAATTTTACTCTTGTGAACATAGATAGGTTTTTGAAAAAAACGTAGTTTTAAACTACAGACATATTTATTTGTCAGTGTTTGTTATGTGCTAGGTAAAGTACCGCACATTAAGTGATGAATGAGACAAGAACTCTCCTCTTGTTTACGTGGAATAGTGAGAGACATAAAAAACAAGACCCAAATGCAATAAACAAAAAAGGTATGAGTGCAGTATTAAAGGAACAGAGAAAAGAAAACCATTATCTCTACCTGGGAAAGCTAGGAAAGACTCCTTTCAAAAGGAGACAACAGATGAGTAGAAGCTTGGAGAATGAACAGGAATTTTCCAGGTGGGGAAATGACAGCTCAGTTACATAGCAGTAGTGATTAGGATGCGACATAATAATCATGATTGGGAGCAATGACAATGGGGGTAGGGAGCAAGCAGGAAGGTTGGAGACAGATACTGGGACCAGACTGTGAAAGGATATTGTGTGTAACACTAGGGGCTGGTCTTTATAAGTAGAGGGCTTTAATTAATAAAGGTAAGATTTGCTAGTTAGAGAGACAACTCTGGCAACAGCCAGAGTGAAGAGGCGCTGATGGCAGAAAAACCAGAGAGGAATTCATTTTAAAAAGCTGGTGAAGTATTTGAGATCATTTCTACATCTACGTGTTTATAAAAGAAGTAGAATTAGAGAGACA